AATACAGTACATTACACAGAGAGAGCGTGATAGTCTATTTCAGCTTTATTGCACCTGCTATAATCTCGTCCTCTCTCCTCTCAGGTGACTGATTTGAACCAGGCTGTTAACAAGAACAATGATGCAATGCGTCAGGCCAAGCAGGAGAACATGGAGTACAGACACCAGATCCAGTCCTACACCTGCGAGATCGACTCACTGAAAGGCACCGTGAGTATCAGCTTCAACTTCTCACAGTTCCTCCAAATAAATTGAATGCACTTAGTTAATTTGTTATTCTGGTTATCAAAAGGCTGTCTTTTCTTTCTTATACATTATGTCTACACACACCTCCATTTTCCCCTTCTTTCTATCGCTTTCATTCTATTTTCGGCCACACTTTTCCCGCTATTAACGTCACGTCTTGCCTCCCCTCTAGAATGAGTCTCTGCTTCGCCAGATGAGAGATATGGAGGACCGCATGGGCCGTGAGGCCTCTGGTTACCAGGATACCATCACACGGCTGGAGGAGGACATCAATAAGATGAAGGTAATCAGCATAGAGGTTTTACACTTACTCCTTAGTCCATGAAAGGTACTCAAATCAGGTTAATGCTCACTCTGTTGATAGTTATTAACTAGAGCTCATGGATTTATCCACTGCATCACTGACTAGGAAAAGTAATATACAGCATTACAAGTGTATTTGAGCATGTAATAAATCATTTTATGATTTTAAGGATGATATGGCCCGCCACCTGAGAGAATACCAGGACCTCCTCAACGTGAAGATGGCCCTTGATATTGAAATTGCCACCTACCGCAAGCTGCTGGAGGGAGAGGAGAGCAGGTGTGTGTTTGCATGCTGTTCACATTCAAACAAGTCAGGCAGTATTAGTCCCAACTCTTCATTGTAATCTTACTTTTCTCACTGAGATGTTCAATTTGTATTTGTCTATGCATATATTAACCGTTGCATTGAATGTGCATCCTGTTTACAGGATCACCACCACTGGGCCTGTCCAGACCTCTTATTCCTCCATTGGATTCAGAGGTAAAAACAACACATTCTTTTCTCCATACCTAAAAATCCATTTAATATTCCACTTGAGTCAATGAAGGGATAAAAAGGACTAATTATAGCAGGTGACTGTATATGGTGGGGGCCATTTTGAAGGTATTAAATGGTGATGTGTCGAAAACCTCAGCAGCTCTGTGATTCACAGAGGCAACCATCACCAAGCCACACATCAATAAACTCACAACCCCACCTCCTCATCGAATGTATTTACAGATGCAACACAAGTGTGTGTAAAATAGAGCTCAGTGGAGCTGCAGCAGAGTTTAATTAATGAGTCTATGATGGAGTATAAGAGCTGAGTGAATGTGTTGTTACAGAGACCAGTCCTGAGTCACAGCATCAACGCTCATCAGAGACTCACTCCAAGAAAACCGTTCTCATCAAGACCATTGAGACCCGCGATGGAGAGGTATGAGCACACTCATATATTCATAACACATATGTCTCAGTATGTATTATAGAATGTGAAGAAGTCCATGCACAGGCATCCCAGAATCTCTTAAAACATGCCCACAACTTTGCAGTATGTAATTTGATAAAACTGTTACCCAATTATGTTCAGTGACATCCAAATTGATCCAGTTTGTTGTTGTTGATTTGTTGCTGTGTATATTCTCACCCAGATGAAGTATTCTATGAGCCAGGGCGCTAATGCCCAGAGTGTAAGTCTGGTTCCCACCCCCTCTTTGACACTAGTTCACTAAATATTTGCAAACTACCAGATTTAAAAAGAAAATACCTTTTTAACTTTGATTTATTGTCTACCTGCATCTCCATCTGCAAAAGGCCAAAGTTTACAACTGTGTTTGAGAGCATGGAAAGAGCATCAGCATCTAGAGTCTCTAACTGACGGCCTGTAATCTGGTAGTTTGCATCAACCCTGTATGGACACTTTAACATAGACAGCAACACTCCACACCAACTTCACTGTCAGTGCTCTCTAGTCCCCCCACACAGCACAAACAAAACAATACCTGCACTTAAGAGGTGAACATCAATAATGTCAGTACTGTCACTTGTGATAGAAAATACTCTCACCCATCATATCTATAGATAATAATAATTATTGTAATAATTGTTACAATATCTCTTTTCTTGCCTCCTCAGGTGGTCAGCGAGTCCACACAGCACCAGCAAGACATCATGTAAACATGAAGAGGCAACGTCAGAAACATTATGTTTAATAAATGAATAAAAAGAATAGTGCAACCATTTACATTTTCCTACGACGACCATGACGATTTAATAAGCTGAGCCCATTTGAAGGTACCGAACTCGGATCGATTTAAATAGAAAATGATGAACGTGAATGCAACCAGTATATGTACTGTAAACATAATAAACATCATAGTGGAGCTGTGGAGGTGCAATGCACTGCATACCAGGAATTTACACTTGTTAATGCTACTTTCCGTCTCTCTGCAACAAAGACCTGAATATCTTGTCTACAAACACACAAAGGTGAGAGTGCAGTTTCAATTCACGACAAACCTTTGGTGTAGCCGTTATGGCCCAGTTTAAGTTTTCAGTGGTCCTGAAGTACAGTCATTTTCACTGCACATGTTTCCAGTCGTGCAAACGCACGAGTATATGACTTGATTGAAGAAGGCGTTTGATTTGTGTAACTGATTTAAGGAAAGTGAGATGTTGGTCTGACGTTTGAAATATGTCAGAAACACAAAAACATCTGACAAAAAAAGGAACTCAGTCATGTATTTTAAGTTTGAGCTCAAGAGCATGTGCTGGGTGTTTTATTATGTGTATGGTTAACCATGGTATGGTGCTTCACTGTGACAAAAAAATAAAATAATAAAGGCATTTATTATCTTATTAACATTCGTCAGATTTAATTTTTTGATTTTGAGAAAGAGTAAACATGCTTTTCCTTCCCTCATGAACTGCTCATACACACTGCATTCATCATCTGCATTAGGTTTCCACCCCAGCCAAGCGTAACACTCTTCTGACTTTTAATTCACTTTTATAAAGAAAATGGGAAGTCGCTGTTCTGTTGAAATTATCAGCAGCAGAGCCGGTCGTCTTGGTGGAGGAGAGAAGTGAACAATGGCTTTTAATGAGATGGTCCCGGTCATGCTTTGTTTGTGGCAGAAAGCAGATTAGTGCACAGAATTACAGTCCGTGCACTTTGTTTATGAAGTCACTGGACTGAAAATGTCAGCGGAGACAAAAAAAAAAGAAAAAGAACAAAAGTGGAGCAGTGGAGGAGGAAAGTGGAAATAAGGGTGCAGACAAGAGAGGGGCAGGGAAGAAGGAGAGCGAGACCGAGAGGGTGAGAGAGAGAGAGAGAAAATGAGAAAGACGGAGGGGGCTGATGTATCTAAAAGGTTATTCACAGACACACAAGATTAGTTAGAGATAATAAGATGTAAACAAAGGAAGTGGAGCCATGTTGTTCAGAATGTTTTGTCCCAGACATTGTTTCTTTGCACTTCTGTCAATGACAAGTGTCATAGTGTCTGAATTTGGACCCAGTTACAGAACAGAGACCACAGAGAATGTTTAACAGATCTATCACAATGAACAGAGAGAATCCTGAGAGTTGAGCAGAGTGAGGGTGGAGAGGAGACAAGAAAGAGCTGCAGGACTGAGAGGCAGATGAGTTTTGAGGCAGGCAGGAAACAGCAGAGCAGGTAGGAGAGGTGGCAGGAGAGTAAAACCTGCAGACAGGGAGGAATAAAGTCAGAGAGGCAAAGATTCAACAAGGCTCAGAGAATCAAAAAATACAGAGACTAAATCAGCTGTGGCATGAGTGTGATGAACTGATGAACTGGTAGAAAATGAATGGCAGCGCTGTGCATATATATTCTGCTGGGGTAGATTGCTTAATGCTTTACAGGTGGGTCAGCCACGCCCCTATGGGTGCCTGCCACTCACACCCACACACACACACACACAGACACACCCACATACACACACACACACACGTCACACTAAGGTGCATGTTGACACAGGGACACAATATTCCTGATTTTTGTATTCATTTGAATGGACATCAACATTTTACACCAGTTTCAGAAAATTTTAAATAAATCAGAGATTCTTTCATGAGACACATCAAATCCACTATGTGCATAACAAGTCTGTCAGTTTGTACCTTACAGTATTATGTTACATTCTACATTTGTGTGTTGGACAGCTACAGAAAGCATATTTAATGTTAAAGTATCAAACTGAAAAAATGTTTGTTTACTGCAATTCTACTCTTTAAATGTTACTGAAAATAGGAAATGTTGAATGGTCCAGTGTGTAAGACCTAGTGATGTTTTCACCAGTGTGTTTCTTCTAAATGGTATGAATTGTTGTTTTCTTTACCCTAGAATGGACCCTTTCTATTAAAATACTTGCTGATGGTAAATACAGTTTTAATTATTCTTTTATTTATTCCAACATCGATTTTATTAATTTGAAATTTGGTTTTCAGGATTTAATATTCTATTCCTGTAAGGCTCAGATTGTACTTATGTGTTTGACACCCTTTGATATGTGGAAGTGTGTGTATGTATTTTCTTCATGTCTGACAAATTCCAATTACCTGATGTAAAGTTGAGAGGTAGAAACCTGATATCAATATGTGAGTATCAAAACAGTATTTTATATAAACACATAAACACAAAACACTGATAAGTCTTTATACAGATCTCTGCTCTTTTCTTTTTTTAGAATTGTGACTATTTCAGAATTACCTTAACTCTACCTTTACATTTCTATGCCGCAGTTTCTCATTACCTACTTATCTATGATGATCTACGATACCTGCAGATATAACGTCCAGGCTTAATACTAAAATAAGCACAATTTAGAATCTGATTTTACTGTCGTATTTAGCTTAAGTTGAGGTATTATCATTGAGCAGTATTTGTGCACAACACAAGTAATGGAGGTGGGAACAGTGGAACAGTGAGAGACAGGAAGACAATTAGGTTGTAGAATCACAATGTTTATCATATTTTAGGTCCATATAAATTCATGCGCAGTAACAATAACAATAATAATAATAATAATAATAATAAACACCATACAAATTTAAACAGGGTGGTCGGAACATTATTAATCATTTCGCAATTAATGAATTTCTAATAACTGCTGATAATCAAAAGTCAAGGCTCAGTTTGTTATAGTTGATTTTCAGCATCACATGGATGAGACAGGAGGAGAATGATAGCAGTGCATCCACCGCCCAACCAGATGAAACCAACCGGACATACAGTAGGAACGCAATATAAAACAAGTCTACTCCATTAAAAAAGAATCAGCGGGATCATTTACATGGCATAAGCGATCGTGGTGTAAAACATGAAAACAGAACCAAACATTTGTACATTTAAAAACTATTTACACTTCAGTATCTACAATAAAGGCGTCATCCCAACGTTAACTCACAAGTGATAAGCAGTCACAGGGAATAATAGGAATAAAAGCAAATCAAAGGAAGAAGAGGAGAATAATTATTCACCTTGTCCCCAATTTACAAGCAAGAGAGCGGTCAAAGTTTAATGTTTTGTTTCCAGGTAAGGACAGTGATGGTGTTACAACTGCACGGGACTGGAATGTAAGCAAAACCCAGAATAACACCTGAACAGCCACTTACATACAGACACATAGAGCAGAACAGAGGGTGGCTCAGCATATTACAAAGAAATGATTCAAATGTCTTTTCAAAGCCCATTACCTGGACAGTGTAAATGAAGAAGAAGAGGAGGAGGAGGTGGTGAAGCAGAAGAAAAAGAAGAAGAAGCAGCAAGACGAGGAGGAAGAGCAGGAGAATGATAAGAACTCAGCCTCTGTATCTTTTCATTGAGACTGAATACTTTGGTCCTTTTAATTTTTTCTAATCTTGTACCAAAGATGTAAATTTCTTTTTAAAAAAATGAATGAAAATATTCAGATTATGATGCTCACTCCTGCATCCTAGACATCACTTCAGATCAACCTCCCTCTACAAGTTTCACTCTACAATCAATGCTGCAAGTGTTTTGTGCACCATAGGAAACTGTAAATCAGAAGTTTTTACGTGACAACAGTGACACACGGAAACACTGACACATTGGAAACAGTTACACAGAGATTCTCATGCAGTAATGGGTTAAAGTGAAAGTCCTCCGCTCCCGAGTTCATCACACAAAAAAACTGCAAAGTCTGCTAACGCCAAGTTCCACCTCAGTATTTGGTAGTACTTCAGTATTTAAGTTTTGTAGAATTGTTTTGTTTTTCAAAACCTCAGAAATAAAAAAATCTTTTTTTTGCATTTTGGGATATTTTAGTGGTTTTATTTTTACAGCAACATTTAATCTCAGTTGGATTGATAACATTGTTTATTGTGGGGAACAACAGCGCAGGTTCAAACAAAACAAAAATGGTGCTGTTGTACTGAAAACACAAACTGCATTTTCACCACAACAACAATGTTGACACAACTGAATGTAAAAGCGACTCACACGCTCAAGGTATGTAATGCATGTGCACACAAACATATTCACACAGGCAGAGTGCAGGTCCAGTAGTAAACAGTAGAGGGCGCCCATTGCAGATGCCTGTCACTTTCCCTCTGTCTCTTTTACAGGAGATTATCCCCCTTTTTAAATCCCCTTTTCCTCCTCAGTGTTTTTATCATTTAACTCTTTTAAACGAACGGACTCTCATTTAAACTGGGGCACTATATTTAGTAAAAAAGAGAGAATATATTTTTACATACATCACCATGAACCCCCCCATCCCTGGCTGATATTTGGTACAAGCCATCACTTGCCACAGGGCTCATGTGTCCACACACACAAAACACACTATATTTAATTTTCTCTGTCGAGTTTCATCCCCTTTCATATCGCCGGTTAAATTCCTGGACGACCATGTATCAGACGACTGTTCATTGTTTTTTACAGCATTTTAAACAGATCTCTCAAAATGTAGATTGTTTTGGGGAATTATGGGAACATGAGAGCACTTGGAGACATGTCAACAAACAGAATTACACACAGTTGCTTCAATGTCAGTGGAAAGAAAGAAGAAGGGAGGTATCTCCGGCTCACGTCTAGTTGGCAGCCTAGGGCACGAGGAAAGCGGCGACATGTAGCACATTCTCCTTGGAAAATGGAGCATAAAAAACTGTCTTTTGTCGTCTCTGCGTTTTGAAGCAAGACTTTTGCTGCAAAGTCTGGATTCACAGACTGTCAGTGAAGATAACAGGCTCATGAACAGCTTGTTTGACCTTTCATTGGAGAAAATAATGAAGAGCTGCCTCTCTGTTTTAGTATTGACTGTGTTTATGCCGTTTGCTTCTGAGAGCTGTGAAATCCTTTCTTACCTTGATTCTTTAAATGCCACCCAACAGTTTTATCTTAAATGGCACAACCATGAATAGGGACGTTAGCGTTTTAAGGTTTTTTATGCAATCCCACTAGATTTGACTTCTTATTGCTTAAAGCAACCACAAAAAGATTTAATTAAATGTTCAAGAGACAGTTTCCCACAGAACTGGTCCAGCTTTTGTCCTCCAAATAATCACAGATACAGAAGAGTCAGATACAGCTTGTAATAACTCATGATGTCAGAGATTTGACTTTTCAACAGCAATCAGCTCTTGTTTGTCTTTACCTGGTCTGAGAGGAGCAAACCAGCCTGGGACTCAATCCAGCCACCTCAGGAACACATCCTGTTTGGATAGGCAGTTCATTAGGTTGGCACGGTGAGGTCAGGTTTTCTATGCCTAACTTCGACAAAGTGTTTTCAAGCAGCCTTGTTGTGATTGTGCGACTGTGTGTGTGGATTTATACATTTCTCTGCCTCAGATGCGAACCGGGGGGCAGCTGGGGGCCGTGAGGGGCACCTGAGAGCCGCAGTCGTAGTCTAGCTCGGCCATCCGGGAGCGGCTCATCATTCGACTGTTGGAGTACGCCCGTCTGTCCGTCTGCCTGTCCCTGAAGCTCCTGATGTAGCTCTGTGGACAAATAGACAATACAGAGTTGACACAATTGTAAGTGTGACATAATGAGATTGCTCAAGTTCAACACTTATTTGCTTTCTTGTCAAAAATTAAATTGTCTTTCTATTGTGAAAGTGGACCAGGAAGTCAAAAGCTTTCTAACATTAACATATTGTGTTTCCATGGTTGGAATATTTTTTCACACAATGAGACTTCGACCAATATAGCCACAATCTCAGGAAGCACAAGGGCTCTGGAGACAGCATACCTCTACCAAAGACTACACACAACAAACTACCATGTTAAAGAAAGTGTTTCCTTTTATCCGGATCCACTCTAATACTGAATTGGTTCTTCTTTGGTTTATGGTCCATGTCTCTTCTAAATCTAATGGAAATCGGTTCAGTGATTCCTGAGTAAACCATGCTGACAGACGGACAGATAACCTCCTTGGTGGAGGTAATAAGAAGGGCCCTTCATTTTACCGGTGACAGCACGTCTCCATCGAAGCGTCTTTTAGGGTTGACCTTGCGGTGGTAGCCAGGCTCAGTTTGCGGAGGAGGGAGTTTAGGCGGCTGGGGGTTCTGGGTTTGGTGATGCGGGTGGGATGCGGCTGGGTGGTGATATTGCTGGTGGTGGTGGTGGTGGTGATGAGTTTGGGCCTTCTGCTTGTGGCCGGTTTTCTGGGTCTGTCGCTTCTTCTTCTTCTTGTTCTCCCGCTCCTTTTTTAGCTTCTCTTCACGCTGTCGGATACGCATGAGCTGGACCCTTCGCTGCTGTCGACTCAAAACCACTGCAGATGGAGAGAAGAGAGAATTAATAGGATGTAGACAGAAGGAGAGGAAGAGAATAATAGATAATCAAGAGGGAGGGAGAGAGGGAGGGAGGGAGGGAGGGGATGATACAGAAAGGTTTCATTTAGAAACGAAATCAACTGAAAGGAATCTAAAAACTAACAAGAAAAACAAGACACATGTCCAATAAGATGAGATATTTTCAATCAGTTCTTAACTGCTGATGGTGAGCTATCCCTCAGGGGTTCATTTTAAATATAGGCTCAAACTTCCATTTCCTTATTTGCCTCATTCTATTCAATGAGTTTTCAGACAGAATCATTTTCCTCCTCATGTACTCGCACTGAGCTGCTCAGTCTCCTGGCATATTGTGAGTGGGCGAGTGTGTTCGTGTTATTTTAACACCATCTCCATCAGAGGATGTCCAAAATCCATCCTGTCTCGCTGTCCACCGACTTCCCACGTGATTATTCATGGGTGTTTGCAGGGATATTGAATCCTCGGGTTTAAAATACAGTACAGTGTCTATCGTCAGGGATCTGTTTCCTGTCCATTACCTGAGGTCAAAATGTTGCCAGGAACGAAAAGACCCCGCTGAACTCCATGAAGACATGATGTGCTGCATGCGCCACAGTTACTGCTTGTGTGCCTGCGTGTGTGTGTGTGTGTGTCTTTCTGTGTGGGGGGTAGGGTGTGTGTGAGTGTGTGGAAGTGTTATGATGTCTATTGTTGTGTCCTTGCACGGGCGGACAACTAATGAGGCACCATCTGCCAAAGAAAATGCTTAATGATACCCCCTCTTTTCTTTTCTTCAGCTCACCCCACTTCAGGCCCCTCTGGCCACATGCTACCGTGTGTGTGTGTGTGTGTGTTTGTAAGAGAGAGATCTTGGTATTCGGTGTTACTCATGTTGCGGGGGCCATCAGTCACACTATGAGGACTTGTCTGGCTTATTGGCACAACAAAAAAGTCCCAATGAAATTAATCATTTGATATTAAACTGAAGATTTGAATTTAGTGTAAGGTTGTTAAGTCAGGGTTGGTTCGTGTTAAACAAGTACGAGTCATGGTTTAGGTTAGAGAAAGTCAATGTAAAGTTGATGTCTGAGAGTTCAACTGAGGGTCAGGGCTGTAGTTAGGGTTAGAAATACATTACGTCAAACAGAGTCCTCACAAGTATAGATGTACAAATAAATAACAGAGGCAGGCAGAAAAAAAAAGATGTGTGTGAGGTTAATTCATTCGAGCCTGTGTCCTGCTTGTTATTCAATCAACTGACAGACAGATCATTTTCCTCTCTGCTCTACTTGGGTCCCCTGCTTACCCATGGTGCCCCAGTTTATCATCGTCATCCTGCCCCTCCCCCAGTACACCTGCTCCCTCTTTACCCTGCCACATTATTCCCCATTCTCCTCTTGCATTTATCAATATGCCGTTCTAGTATTTAAAGAGGACACATTGTAAAGGTTAATCTAAAGACAAAAATACTAAGAACTTTCTTCTTATCACTGACCAGGCGGGAATTGCAAAAACAAACTCTTTCTTTCATCCTCCTTAACAGCGACAAGCAGTGACAGCTTTTCCATTTATCATTATCATTCTTTTTTTGTAACTTCTGATTTATTGTTGTTTATTTTCCTTCTCATGACACTTTACTTTTTAGTTTGTTCGATGTAGAATGAAGGTTATTTTAGGGAATCAATGTTCTTTCTTCTGGACAGATTTTAGTCCACACTTCCACCATGATTCCTTCATATTTCTTTCTAGTGCTCCTTCCCCCACATAGACTTCCACATCTTTTTCAAAATGGTACAAAATGGCTTCCTCTTTATCTGTACCCACTCCCTCTGACTGGAAGTCATGACAGCCTGTTATTTAATCCCATTATTTAAGGCCATGTGTGACTTCTTCTCAGATGTTGTATAAGACTGCACATCATACAGAACGTGTGTGTACAAATGAATGTGATGTGTGTTTTCAAGCTTTCCTGCAGTCACCATGTGAGTGAGTCTATATTACCATTTCTGTTCGTATTGTGTGCGATCTAGCCATCTGTGTGGTTGCTTTCAGAGCAGATGCTGTTTCCGTCAATAACACATTTGGTTGACAACACTAATGTTAGACTCTCCCTCACACATGCTCACACACACACTAAAACACAAACCCACACACACACACACACTGTTCCCTGTCGTTGTGATGCATATGTTTCTAAAGCAATGAAACTGCCCATTTAACAAATGCAGGACAGGGTCTGCCAGAGAAGCTCGTCGAGGCCTTTGTCGGATCGATACTGAAACAAGTCTCATTGATATTATGTGGACAAGACAGCGATCAAGATTAAACTCTAAATCTAATTCAAAAGTACTGACTGTAATTTTGTGTCAAAGTGGCAAAACTGTAATTTATCCCTGGTGTGATAAGTGGTAAATACTGTGACATGCAATTAACTTTGCATTGTACAGAATATGTAAAAATGAATCACCCACCACCACAATTTTAGGTTTTAACAGAGACCAGGTAGATGATCCCTCCCTGTTCCCTCTCTTTAAGATGTTTGGAGCAGTGTTCCTCGTGTCCATCATGCAGCTATGCATCGATACTATTAAATTAGTATTGATTTAAAACCCAAACGATACCCAACCCTTTATATAAGATTTGAATCTGAACATTTTCAAAAATTCATTGGCTTCGATTATACGTGGGAGAGATCACAGTCTTGGCTGCTGTTTTGACGTTTTGTGTAGATGTTTTATGTCCTTCCTTTAGTCTCAGACTTCCACAAGGCCTCTGGATTTTTAATGGGATTTCTTTCAAACTTGCCCTTCCTGCTGTTCAGCAATTACTCCTGTGTTCCTGCCTTTCTACTTCACCTGACCTCCACTCCCACCTGCTTACCACGTTCCCTCTTCTCCTCCTTTACACTGGTATTCTCATCATATGACGGTACTTTCCGGTTGATCTCATCTGCTTGTGTATATGAACCTTCCTTCACCTGCTTCTATCCCGCCTCTGTTCCTGTAAATCTGCTCATGATCCGAAGTGTGCTGCCGTTACACCCCGTGAGATTTGTTCGCCTGTTTGGACTGACTTCAAATTGCTGAATAAGCCGCTTTTTGACAAGAAATTCTAGTAAAGCCTGCTGCGCCTGCAAGTGTGCAGATTTGAGTCCTTGGCCTTGTTGCTGCTTCATGAACTGTGGCAACTACATATTTTTAGATGATGGCTGTGTCCTATTGTGTGACTGTAAAAATGTACAAAGGGAAACTAATTTCACAAGATGTTTTTTTCTGGTTGTAGATGCATTTTCATACTTTTTTTTTTTGTTTAATACTAACTGGTGTTAAGGATTAAAAACAGACATGGGTTGGTTTTTGAAGGGCCACAATGTTGGGAAATACTGTTGTAGACTATGGTGCTCCAACCACAACAACGTCTGTGTCTTATATTAGTTTTTTGAACCTAAAAAAATATAATATAATAAATAATAATCTAAATTATATTATATATAAATAATATGCCTGAATGTGTTTGTGTACAGGAGCATCACTCACCCTCTGTGTGAGAAAATCCCTCCGCAGTGACTTTCCATTGGATCAGCACTCCGAGGAGGGCCAGGACAGGCCACACCCCCAAGATGACCCACGTAAACCAGCACACTGGCTTCTTTGGCGCCACCTGCAAAGATTACAGTTGCACTTTTAATCCTGCAAGTTTAATCAACAATCCACATGTTCAACTAAATCATAACAGTTCTGTCAGACATGCAGATTGAGGTTAGGTATGTTGGCCCTGTGATACACTGGCAACCTGGTGTACCCTGTCTGTCATTGGATTGGCACCAGCTCCCCTGGCTACCCTCAGAGGATGAGCAGTATAATGGATGGATGGAAGTTTTTCATTATGTCTTCAAAATTCTTAGTATACCCTCTTGGTATGGAAGCACAGTACACAATGCAGTACAAAGAATGATAAGAAGAAATGTAACTGTTTGCGTCTGAAAACGAAACCACATCAAAAGTAATCATTTCTATTCTGGATCTGAGTTTTTCATCTGCAAACATTTGAACCAAATTAAATGTCAAACCACAAACTGCTCCAGCAGGTTGCTGTGTGGGTTTAGTCACCAGGCACTTCTGAGTACAACTCAGTGTCTGTTCTCTACTAGGCAGATAAAAAGTGGCCTGATGTGAACAGTATGTTGAATGTTTGAGGGAGGTGATTTACTTTTTGGGCTCGTAAAAAGAAAACACAAAAGGTTGAGAAAGGACAACATAAATCGGCCCACTCCTTCCTCTTAATTCCAACCTGTAGACACACACCAGGCTCCCGGCAAAGTTTTGTCGTGCATCAAGTTGACGTGTATAAAAATCACAGATGTTGGCTGCTCTGGAAAGTGATCGATATCTAGGTTTGTTTTCTGTCTGTCAGTCTCTCTCACACTGACATCTCTGACCAAGGCAAACAACTCAATAGAAAACTCAGGGATGCAGTAATGATGTTTGATGTCCACACGTGCAAGCTTAAACACACAACTGCTCTCACACAAATAGACAACACTCTCAGAGCAACATGATAAGGTGACATCAAATAAATTAATAACCAGACAAACACAACGTACCCTGAGTCTCTCGTAGACATAGTGGACCAAGGCGAACAGCTCTATGAAGTAATCCACGGTGACAGTGATGATGGCAGAGCCAAACGTGGCGGTGGACAAGGTGACAAAGCAGCACTGCCACTGAAGTGTGAGGACAGCAAATAACGTCCCGGAGCCCAGGAGGATGCCCAGAGGAACCCACACTGTTTTGGGGTGATAGAACTCTTCCATGACCTTAGAGAAGGACAGATGGGTGGTGTTTTTAAAGATTTATCTGCGATCCAGACTCATCTACACTCAACCATACATGCTGTTTTCCATCCCAAGAGAACTTTTCTGTGATAACATTACAATATGGTCACATTGCGGCAATTTTTCTCAAATGCTGATCTGAAGAGAACAATGTTGTACTGCTCTTATCTCGATTATAAGTAATTTAAACACAGGGAAAATCTGGAGGGACATGTTATGTCACATTCTGCTCATTGGAACATATTTCTGTGTTTACATCAACACAAAAGTTTGTACATCTCTCCCACTATAACACATAACGCCACTAAACAGCAACTTTAGCAAGGAAGTGGTTGAATGCCAACCTTAACTGTTAGCAAGGAAGCGTCTGAATGCTAACATTAGTTGTTGTGTACTGGTGGATCATGAGTTGCCAAATATGTTTATCCTTGAAATATGCACTCTCCAAATTTTAATTGTCTATTGTCTTTTCAGTGTCATTTAGAGACCTTTGTTTTTTAGCATGAACATGACAAAAACTACCACAAGTGAAGTTCAGTGTAATGTCTATATATATATATATATATATATATATATATATATATATATGCAAATACAAATCTCAAACGTGGCCCAACAAATGTTTCTCACCACCAGCGAGGCCACTCCGACCAGCAGGCCCAGCAGCAGGCCCACCATGAACAGCCCCACGCTGCGGACCAGCATGGTCACCAGGCCGCACAGGGTCCCGATGCCCAGGCCGATGCCGACTGATGCCTCCACGCTCAGCTGAGTGTCCATCACCCGCTCCTTGTAGCACAGCATGAAGATGACCACGGAGCCGAACATCAGGCCCGTGAGGAACAACACCGCCTTGAAGCATCGATAGCCTGAGAAGAGAGATGGGAAACGGACAACTCTGAGGATATCACCAGTATACCGGTACATGCTAACATTTTATTTGTATTTCATGATTACATTGTACTGGTTTCTTCATAGCTTTTCAAAATGAAAATGAATATATTACATTTAAAGGATAAAATACTACAAGGAGGATATGGTGGGTAAGGGAGCAGTATACTGTGCATGGAGAGCTTTTTCTTCATTGGAGGTGGATGAACCTGATTTAAAATATGATAATCATCACATTATTATCATCTACATTCACAGCTGCGCTCCTTCTCATTTTTTTTTTTTTTGCTATCGTATGCTCCCTCCTGTCCTTCTTAGCCTCTCTCTCTTACCAATTTACTCCCATTTTAATTTGCTGTATTGGAATGAAAAACGAAAGACTCAGGAGCAGCAAAAGCTCAAATGATCAAGAATTAAAATCTTCTTGACCCTTGCCTCATGTGTTTATCAATGTCTGCATCTCCCTTTATTTTTTTAGTCTGCAGCTCCTTCACTGACAGGACTGCGTCTCGGGGGGGAACCGGCATCAGATTGTTATCTTTGTGTAATCAGGCATTGCACAGCTGAGCCAAAACAATACTCTCCCTCTCTCATCCGACCCACCGTCCATGCATCTCCCTTGCGACCATACCTATTTCATTTGGTACACTTCTTGATTTATTTATATATATTCCTCTTCTTGTGTGTTTACCTGGACAGCTTTTATCTACTATGCCTGTAAATAGTGTGGGGATAGCCACTGTGTTTCCACAAATCTGACATGGAGTAATAAGAGCATTTCTAGAGCACCTACACCCCCCTGAACATTTGTTTCTTCAGCTGTCATCACAAATTCCCAACATTGTTCTTCCAGCCTACATCAATCAGTTTTGAAATATAACTCTGTTCCATTTTTTCCCCCAACTATCCTTCCCTTCGTCATTCCTTTCCCTCACCCATTGTTCCCAGCTCCACTCCTCTCTTTATCCCCCTTGCTCCCTCTTTTGTTCCTCGTAGCTTCCCTTACTTTTACCCCGGCCATCAAATGTCCATCTGTTCACTCCGCCATTATTCAGCTCCTCCCTCTCTCTGTCTCCATGATTTTGCTGCTAAATGCAAACATGTCTGATGTTAGCGCACTAATACTTATGTATGCTTGAAGTACAGCTGTGTATTCAAAGTGGGCCAGATCATGGTCTTTTGTCTGAGAGGACCCCGAGGGCACACTTGACATTTTCTGCCACACTAGTCTTATAGGTCTACAAATAGCACTGTTCTTTTTTTTCCACCCAGCGGTTTTTATTTCAGGGCCAGAACCAACACAGTCTGCTTGTATGCTGTCAACGTTGTGGGGCAACCTGTTTGTAATGCCGACACTGGCACCATGCTTTACTGGGACATATACAGTGAATGTTAATGTCTGTTTGCTTCAGTGAATCCCGCTCTGTCTATTTGTATGCATCAAGCCAGCTCATGGCTTCAACATACCTCAATATTCATCCAGAAACACTGCATACCTGTTGCCCATATATTTTTATTCTTGTTTTTTGTTCAAAACACAAGAATACAAGAATAACATGTTTTTTCTTTAAGTTTTACAAGCAAATTATAGTGTTTGTTGGACAAAATATTCAATAAAAGATTCACGTATTCACCACAATGAAACATACTCTGACCAAATGCTTTGTTTGCTTGACGGGGGGCGACACAAGGAAGCGCTCAGCTCGGTGCTTCACAGCAAGAAGGTTTGCACCTGTTCCATACTTTCTGTGTGGAGATTTCTCACGGTGTCTGCGCAGGTTTTCTCCAGGTACATCAGCTGCCTCCCACAGTCCAAAGACATAAAGCTACATTGCCCATAGGTGTTCAGTGGTTGTTTGTCTCTGTATATTGGTCCTGTCATGGACTGGTGAACTGTCCAGGTTGTATCCCGCCTCTCTTTTGTTTATAGATGGCATTAGGACATGGGAAGGATTTCAACAAATAAATCAATCATAAAAGAAGTTTTTTTGATTACCTACCTTCATTTTATCTGTACATCTGTTCTATATCTATTTCTACCTTGTTCTTTATATGTTGGTCAGTTACTGATGTATGCCAAGTCACTGTAAGACTGACAGCTACATTTGTTTAGATTTTTTATGTCGTTTACTGCCCGCTGAATGCTAAAACTAAATAGAAAGCATTAGCATGCATCTGATCTTTGCCTGCATATTTGCAGCTACTTGCTAAACCATCATTAACTCACTTAAAGGCAACAAGATGAAAATCTGTGCTTCTACTTCTGCTGCAAGTAAATAATTATACATGCACATAAGCCAACCCAAGGCAATATACGGAAATTAACATACCCTTGGACAAAATGTACCACACATTCTGAATGTATAGTTATTATTTGAGCACTTTCCCTGCTAACATGTGATTTTCGAGCCATCATTGTTTCAGCAGCACAAGCAACCCTAATGCCTGTAACCATAACAGCAAATCGTTTTTCTAATTATTTGATTGCTTTTGGCTGTAATGACTTTACTTCCAAATGCATTGGGATGAGACCATAATACTTAGGATGCAGTGAAATGCAGGCACTCCCTGCGCACAGAACAAAAGCTCAAGTAAAGAGTTTGTGTCTCAGCATATGAATGGACCCATGCATACAGTCCAAGTGTTTAAAGGGCACAGAGGATTAAAAAAAAAGAGAAAAAAGACAACAGGGGTCCACTGCCAGTTCGCCCAGGAGCTTTTGATTAATTGTAAAACTGCCTCCTTCTTCTTTCAGCTGTGCTGCTGCAACATTTAGTTGGAAGACGCGAACAAAATCAGCAGCAGAAGATAGCATGTGTTTTTCTTTCTTTAAAAGAAAGCAGACAGCCCAATCTTTTTATGATGTGAGTCCGCAAATGGAGATTCAAGGTTTTGATTTCAGAAAGAATGGGTGAAAGTAAAGACCCATATTTTACCATCGTGTTTCCATCCTTCTTACTCACCATCTGTCCTACTGTCAGTTAGTCCAGTCTACAGACATTAGAATTCAGTATTGATTTACACACACAGTAACAAGAGAACCACTCTGAGCCGCTCTTAATAACAGAAACATGAACAACAGTGGATCATTTCATGGCACTTGCTCATGTAGAATCCCAGCTACATGTCACTTTTCAGTAATCCCATCATATCTGTCAATAACACCCAGGATATCCAGTTGTGTGCTCATTTACGGGAGTTGTTTATGTTTGCAAATACACTAAAAGCACCTTTCAGATGAGTGAAAATGAAAGCATTGTAAAAACTTCAGGAGCGTGGACCCAGACGTAAACATCCCATTCATTTTCTGAATAGAGATCTTGATTATAAGCCATAATGTTGTAACCATCCATTGTAGAAGTTAGAATGCCCATTCATTCCTGTTGAAGAAGTGTTTGGCTGTAAAGCCGTGGGACCGTGCCACTCTCAATAAAATCCAGCAGTACCCCATTGAACTAATCCTGTTTACCACAACTCCCCCGAACTTCACACCTCTACCCCCCACCCTACACCCCACCATGCTCATGTGACTACTCCATTGTGATGGCCATATACACAGCTTCCTATTTGAAATATATGATAAAATGTACTCTGTCAAACCCCTCTCATTACATAATTTTGGCTTTTTGGTTTCACATACTCTCACATCATTATCACAAGTTTTATTATTACAAGGAGGCCATAAAATATATAACAACAAAATACTTTACTTTAATGGAAGAAGAAAAACAACTCTAGCTACATTCAGCCCCAACATCTCTCTCATTCTCTCACACAAACAAACACACACTCGCCGCAACTCTAGAAACAGGTCAGGTTTCCTTCAGAGGCAAGAGACGATCACTGTTACCATAACAAGGGATCCATCACACGCAGATCCCTATGTTTTTTGAGTTTTTGTAGTAGTTTTACTCTTGCTAAGAATAAAGGGCTGATGATGCACCTTGTTAAGCCCTATGAGACAAATTATAATTTGTGACTATGGGATTACAAATTAAATTTGATTCATTAGTTGATTGATTAAACAGGCAATGACAGGCATGTAATCATGTGCATGAGACATTTAGAGGACATATTAGTACCAGCTCTGACTGTGGCATCACCACTTACCAAAGAAGCAGTAGATGATTCCAAAGAGGCAGCACATGGAGCAGACCACCGAGGGCACAATCTCGTACCTCCTTTCAATCTCCTGGTCGCACTTCAGCCCCACCTCCACCAAACCCAGCAGCTTGCTGGTAGAAGTCATGATGGCTTGAGTCAAGACGGGAGGCAGCGTTCGGAGGTGACAGAGGAGGGCAGGGGAGAGGGGTGAAAGGGGGGCGTGTTGGGGTGTTTGGATCAGTGGGCCTCACCCATGGGGACGTGTCTACCTGCAAAAAGGAGGCATAGAAAGAAAGCAGAAGACAGAGAGCGAGAAAGAATGAGAGAAAGACAAAAGAGAGGGGGAGAGAGTGATTATTGATTGCTCATTTTAAGTACTCAACAGTGAGTGCTGACAGAGCAGCCAGCATGCTCTATAATTTTGAAAAAAGAAACAAGTCAGCACAGCATAGCCGCTCACCACTCACAACTACCAGAGCAGATGAAATGACTGCATTATAAGAAAAAAACTGCAATTCAGCCACTATCACTATTCACTCTGACATACAGCAACAGAAGAGCTGCAGCACACACTGAATAGTTGCCATGGAAAGATAAACAATATGCATTAGCATAAATTTGCATGGTTTTGGAAATTTGACACAAGAACTGGATTGTTTGTACATGTGCCACCAAACAATTTTTGGTGCATTTGAATCTCTACTTAGTCCTTTTTTTTACCCTATATCGTGGACTAACTGTATCGGACATTGCATTTTGAAAATTTGTGTAGTAGTAGTAGTAGTGTTATAGTCACTAATCGAGCAGAATATACCATAATGCATTGCACTCAGGGTGTTGACAGGAAGAAAAATGGCAGAGGGAAGAGAAGAGAGAAGGCAGCAGCAACAGCCCAACCGTACAAATGTAAATACAAGCAGAGCCGCGCATCACAGCACAAGCCATGAAAAAAAGTTAATGTAGAATTACTGCCTCATCCAGCAACTTGCTGCGGTAACAGTCACAATTTTCCCAATGTTCTGATGTTGGAAATTGGTCTGAAAAGTATTTTTTTGGCAGAGCATTATGATGTCGTCGCTGCCCCGTAGCTCTGTTACTACAACATGAATGTGAAAGCTTCCAAGTGAAGAGTGTATTTTTCTGGTGCACCAGAGACACACTGAGCAGCACAAACACAATCTGGACTGTAGTGAGGTCATTTCACACCAACTCAAGTGAAACACTGTATTTACTAATCTAATCAAACACACCACATAATTGTAGAAACATAACCATTTCGCAGCAATAATTCAGCCTAATATAATTTCATTCCAGTGACAACGAGTATTTAATTGACTTTAATTTTGCCACAGGGCAAATGGAGCTGTTGGTATTACACTGTGTGTCACTTATGAGCAATTACAGCTTTCACAATTACAATTTGATCCTGGTGTGTAATGTATACTATACCTTTCATCTAATGAGAGGCTGTGTAGTGATTTACTGTTACATAATGGACTGCGGCCCAGTATTGATAACTTGATTCCTCAGTCATCTCTTTGTGTCCTTTGGCATGAACACACAGCTCCACACACATTCATCACAGTGGTTTAACCTAAAGCAAAAATTGTCAAAAACTACAGATGCACTAAATCATGAATCCTGTATTTAAAGATGCATTATCATTATTCCATGCAACAAGCACTGTACTACAGATTTTACGCAGTCTTCAGGTGTGCTCTGTCTTCATCATGACATCACTTAAACAGGCACTTCCACTGATACATGTGTATGTGGGTGGCTCATCTTTGCATCTTCACACAGATCTTTCTACTTTCAGAAGCCATGTGTGATTCCAAGCTTCCTTTATAAATAATAACAATACATGTTATTCATAGGCGTCTTTCACAGACTCAAGGTCCCCTTGAAAGGCAGATATAAAACTGAACAAAAAACAATGTATTCAAAAGATTCAACAGTGAATAAATCATCTATTTTACCTTTTATCGATTTGTTTGTGACACAAAAACAACCAGATTTCCACAAATTTGGAAGGATGTAACATGGGCCAAGGAAGAACTCATTTAATTTTGGCGCAAATCCAAATCAAGGGTCAGATTCTGGAATAGTTTTTTCTTTAATATTGTGAGATGCGTATTTCGACATTTTCTTTAATTTCTCAGAGAATAATTCATGGATCTTGATGAAAAAAATCCAGCATATTTAGGGGGCTGATATTTAAGTGTGTGCAATTTTGAGCAAAATTCCCCAAAATCTGGATCTTGTGAATTTGAACGTGGTTTCATAAGGGACTGTTAGGCCTTAGTGCAAATGTAGTCTGACCCTGTTTCTATCTTTTCACATATCTGAAAACTATATGTCAAGTAAAGCCCCAGTCTTAAAGTAAGTAAGGAGTTTGCTCTTTGTGGATAATAATATTATGTCGGAACATTAAATCTCAAAAAGAGGGTTAATTGATGTGAAAACTCTGGTTCTCGCTCATAACTCAGAACAAAAGCACATTATTAGTCCCCTGAGACTCAGTCCATTGGCCCATAGCTACAACAGCACTACCTACTGCACTCAACACACTCTGTGCTTTTGCGGCCTCTGTAGGTTAAAGATCGCAAATTAAATTTTAAATTTCTGTAACTCTGGATCCATTACCTCAGTTAGGTTTTCACCTTCAGGTCAATGCACTTGTCATGTCAGAGAACAGAAGACAAACTCAGATACTCTCTCCCCGAGTCCCTGTCTACTTATCCTGGACTTATTTTTCCACATGCATACACACAAATGTGCAAAGTGTGCACGCTCTCATTACACTGGGGAGGTAAGCCCTTCTTATTCCACATTGACCTAGTGGGTGATGATGCACTGTGGCATGTCAGCACACAGGCACACACACACACACAAACAAACACACACACACACTCGAGAACTGTGACTATCATTGTGGTTCGCTGGAGTAAGAAGTCATTGCTGAGTAAATTTCAGTTTCACCTGTCGGTTTATTGAATGCAACAAGCTGACCATCAACACTACGAGAAGAAAAAAAAACATACACAACATTACTAAATGTCTTGCAGCATCCTTTTACAATAAGTGATAGTGTAGCAGTAATGGAAGTGAGGGAAAGGATGAGTGTACAGTGCAATGAAAACAATCTAATGGCAGGATTAACAAGTGGCATTCAGTGAGGTGTACTATCACCTTGTATTATAGTCCACTGTGTCTCGATAAGTAATTGTCCAAACATCCAGACTGTCATTAAATGTCAGCTGCTGAAATCTCCCCCTAATCACAGCCACTTCCATCAGATCCATTCCTGTATGAACAACGCCCACCTGAGTCTGTGCTGCTGGGAATTCCCTGTCACCACTAATAAGAAATTAAAAGCATTAACGAAGATTAAGATGAACTACAAGCCAGTATTAAACATTTTAATGGTACAGCGTAAACGATGCTCCCTGTGGGGGCAGCAGAAGTACATGAGTCAGAGCTAACGGAAGCTGATTAGCATTAACTCGGTGTTTAAATACAGTCGTCCTCACAGCCCTATGCAGCCGGTAAAAAAATTACTTTAAGGAAAATGTGTGATGCTTTATTGATTTGTGGAGTTAAATCTTCAGACTCAGGTCCAGATGTGCTCCTACAGAGCAGAAAACTTCAGCAGAGCACATCCGTATAGAAACTCAGCTGTCTGGCTCATTGAGCGATCCCGCATCACACCATCCTGCTGCCCTGCAGGCTTCTGACTCCATAAAAAGTCATATAGTGAACTAAATGGCTTAACAGAAAAATTAGAGAGTGAGCTTTTCGAAACAACTTCTGGTCTTCAACAGCAAAGTGCAATAAATTAATGTTTACTTTACAACTTACTTTTGTCATTCTGTTAAGTGCAGAGAAATAACAACAAGGTCCTGCTGTGTTGCAAGGTCATGTCTCTGGTATATAATCTCGATGTTACTTCAAACAAAAAACGTGCATCCATTCGTATTCTGAGTCAGAAACCTGAAAGCAACTGGAGGATGTCCAACTCATAATTGTCTGTCTCGGAAAGACAGACTCCAGTGGTGAAACAGATTGTCAAGGCTGCAGCTTAGTTACACCACAGGCTCCCTGACTCAAGAGGAAGCTCCAACTGAGAACACATGACAAGGGACACTGCAGCTCTGCCAAGAAGAATAATGACAAAGAGAATATGTGCACACAATTATTTGTTCTCTGAAGCTGTCTTTCTATTCTCATTTATTTTTCTCATATCAAATATTCAATGTGTGTTGGGAAGTTTTGAAAAACTGTCAACCGCTTGCAAAACTTGTTTATCTTCTGCACAATCTGTGACACAATACACATATTTTTAAGATTATATATTTATAAATGTTTACCTTTATTTGTATATTTTATTTTATTGTATATGCACCAAACACCAAAGCAAATTCCTTGCATGTTGGGAAAACTACTTGGCAATAAACACAATTCTGATTCGAAAAGTTGTTGGAAAAACATGGTAGGTTGCTTGGTAACACAACACGCAAGCAACATGCAACGTTTGCAATCAATGACACGTCTACACAGCGAAAAGAACAACCTAGAGAGACGGTGCCGCAGAGTTAATTATATTTCATCAAGTCTTAAAAACAATCATGGCTGAGAAAAAAGGAGGAAGGTCATCTAATCAAACACTGAGCAGAAATTTAAGAATATACACTTGATGATTTTTCACATACAAAGACGACAAAAAAGGCACTAGCTGAGCACCATGTCAAAAATGGCCCACAGCTTTATCAAATGAAATAAAGTAACTCAGTTTACTTTCCTCGAGCTGAACGTTGGTTTCAACGTGTGAAGCTCTTGTCAGTTCACATTCTGTGGTGACCTGACATTATTTCGTCTGACTGCGACGACCAAAGAGAGATGACATGATTAGAATTAGCCCAAGAGGTCAGAACTAGAGAGAGTGAAAAAAGCAACACATTATGCAACAATGTCACGTCCTGTCTGTTTCTATAACAACCGGCAGCGGTATGACGACCCTGCAACAGGACAGGGGGCTGGTCTCCATGGGAATGTGAATAATAAGTAGCATCCATGATGGTTTCTTTGAGACTTCTGGCAACAGACGGTCCTGACCTCTTGACCCTATTCAGCTAGTGCCTCTTTATAATTCACCAACATATTAGAGAAGCCACAGAGAAACATTAGATCTAGAACAAACAGTTTATTATAACATTGAACAGTCCCTTCCTTGATCGTTCTAACCAATATATAATATAACTCTGGCAAT